ATGTTGAGGTTAATTGGTGATTCTAAATTGTCCGTAGGTGTGAATGTGAGTGTGCTTGGTTGTCTGTCTCTAAGTGTAGCCCTGTGATAGACTGCCGACCTGTCCAGGGTGTCCCCTGCCTTCACCCTAAGTTGGCTGGGATAGGCTCCAGCCCCCCCTGCGACCCTAATGAGGATTAAGCGGTGTATAGAAAATGGATGGATGGATGTTTTTGGACCTTGTAGGAGGAAGCCGGAGAACCTGGAGAGAACCCATGCTGCACGGGGAGAACATGGAGACTCCACACAGAAAGATCCCAGGTGTCCACACAGGGACGCAAACCGGCGACCTTCTTGCTGTGAGGCAACAGTGCTAACCAACTGCCCCACCTTGCAGCAGTGCACAAATTTTAAACTAATGGGTGCATAAAATCAACAACAGCAGACAATTAAATGGTTAAATTCAATGATGACAATTAATCATACACATAAACTGGACAATCATACCCGCCCTAATCATGCACATTTCCTACAGCAGACATCCGTTCTGTTATTAACACCTGCTTGCATTACTGTGACATGTCAACATGTCTTCAAGCCGTCTGCCTCTAATTCCAGTTTCTTTAGTGTTCTTTAAACGATACTCTGCTGATGCCGAACTCGCTGCTGTCAGTTGCGTTGTGCTCCCTCGCAGGGCACATCAGTCAACTGTCAGCGCCTGTCTCCGTGAAATACCAGCTCCACCGCGTTGACGTCATGAAATTTCAAAGCCACACACACACACACACACACCTGATTTAAAAGCTAAAGAGCAGCCTGACAATGGCTGACACAAGGTGAAGCCAGTCACAGATTTACAGCAGAATAAAGAAAAGGGCAACTTCAGCCATTGTGATGTGACAGCGTTTACCGGCAGGAGCACATGTGTAGCAAAAGAGCAGAAGTTAGCATTTAATCAGAGGACGCTATGCCATCACGGGAATACGAGAAGATACGTGGCAGAAAAACCTCCAGGAGCATTTATCCATCAGATAGCATCAGCTTTGGAAGGTTTTCCATCTCACTGTTTGCTTGAAAGATCAACCTAAGCGCATAAATCTGTAGTGGTATTGATCCTTGTGATGCCGATAATCGACACAGAGTGCAGCCAAAAGTGTCTTCATATCTTCAGGTTATCAAGCCGTTGCCATCCTGCAGCTCCTCAGCACTCAGCTGGATCATGTGCTCTACGAACAGCTTGTCACCACAAGATGACACACTTCCAGGCCCACCTCCACCACTCACACACACACACACACACACACACACACACACACACAAACTCCTCGATACTGTATTCCAGTTCTTACTCGAGCTGCGTGCACATTTGGTGAGAAGGAGAGAGACAAAGCATGATGATGGCAAACAAAGACAGCTGAAATGGAAAAGAGGGGAAGTGAGGATGTGCTGATGAGTGGGAAGGTGTGTGTTTGCTTGTTTGTCTGTGTGTGCACACGCAGGAGGGAAGGGCAGAAGAAGGATGAAGGGAGATTTCAAGCTCCCCAATCTATTAAATAAAACATTCTCCCCTTCTCTCTGTTGCGAGCTGTCAAATGGGAATAGGATTGTTGCGTTCCTGTGTGTTTAAGAGTAGAGCTGAAGTGTCGCCCTGTTAATGTTTAGTCCTACTCCACAGGCTTAATATATTGAATTAAGCTTTCTGGGAAAAATGCCAGCTCAAAGCTCTGAGAAACTGCATGTTGACACGGGGATATCTGACTTTTCTCCAAGTATATGGACACTTGTGTTGGCTAATTAATAGCACTGACTGCGCGACTATTAGCCAGAAAGGCATCCAAATGGCCTCTCACTCTGTGCTGAAGCTGTGAGCGAGTCCCTATCTTGGATATATTGAGGATGAACTCTGTAGTTTTGTGTCCTCATGGTTCCCTATGTAGCTGCTGGTGATATAATTTGATGTCCAATCTTTTTTTTAAACACTATTTGCAGACAAAGCGTTGACAGCCTCATGCTGAGCTGCCAGGACATTAATCAGAGTTTGCATTTTTGCAAGAAGGCGAGACTGTAACCAAGTGAAAGAAGGTTCTTCAGCCTAATGACGAGACACTCATCATCACAAATACAACGCCTCCACTGTGAAGCACGGCGGTGGCACCATCATGATGTGTGGATGCTGATATCTGACTTATCTCCAAATGTGTTGGCTAATTAATGTGTTTCAGTGCAACTATTAGCCAGGGAAGCATCCAAATGGCCTCTATTTCTGTGCTATAGCTGTGTCCAGCTCCTTGTCTTGGACATACTGAGGATTAACTCAGTAGTTTGATGCCTTCATGGTAGCAGACTGTGCTATAATTTGACATCCACTGGTTATTTTGCACTATTTGCAGACAGTTTTTTGATATTTTTCAGGACATGTTGAGCTGTTAGGATATTAATCAGATCATGTTTTAATGTTTAATCAGGAGCTATGTGGTTCTGACTCCAAAAACTGTGCACATATTTCTTTCCTGCGCCAACAAACGCTCCTTCTAGTTTCCCAGATGAACCTACGGAGCAATCTGCAAACTGTACATTACCTAATAAAAGCAGTTTCACTTCTCTGGCTGCCTTCTCTCCGTCCTCTCGGAGGTTTTTGTCAATCATCTTTGATCTCTCCGCGGCAGCTTTATCCTCGGCGCTCACCGTACAACCCATTGGATCCAAACGCAGGGGCGCACCGCTTGCCACTTGCGCAAAAACAACAAAATATAAAAACAGAGGTTACGGTGCTGATGGTTTCAGCGCGTCAGCCGATGCCAAGAATAACGATGGAGCAGCTTTTGCTTCCTGCACTGCCTTGACTGGAGAGGAAACAGCTTATTCCAGAGTTTAAATCCACGCGTAAAAAGTCAGTGTCCCTGCTTCTCTGGTCAACTCGGAGCTCAAAAGCCAAGCAGATGCATTCAGATCAGGAGTTGTTCACACTAAATCTCTGGCTGCTATATGTGGTCCATGCCGACACGCTCTGATGCCCTCCGTCCTGCATCCATCCACGGGCTCGGGTGTCTGTGCTCCGCGGCTGAAGCGCCTTCACTCGTCTTCTCGGCCTGCTTGAGCAGCTTCGTCCGTCCGTCGGTCGGTCGCGCGGCTGCTGCAGTCCTTTTTTCCTCGGCGCTCAATTACGCTCGAAAATCCTCAGATGTTCCTCAGATGACAATTGGAAGCAGTCAACCGGCCGCACCGACGTCACTTGGGCAACTTGTCGCGATAGTCCAATTAAATCAGGTGAACTCTCCACGGTTGCTTGTGTGGGAACCAATTAGAGGGGAAGCCAGCGAGGCGTGATTTCAGGAGTGTGATGTGCAGACTGCAGTGGGCGCTGTGCCAACCTCATTCCTCTGCATTTGTCGTGGCTGCAGACCCCGGAGACGACGGATGCAGCGTTGTGCAGCGGTCAGAGACGCACCGGGTGACTGGGCGCGCTGTGCGTAAGCCGCGTTCTCTGCGCAAAAGGTGCGGAGTGTGCTGTTAAAATGGCTAATGAGTCTTTGCGTCACATGTTTATGAAATACCTTGGCACATAATTAGGCCGTGAGAATAAAGGGTGCACAGCGCCACCAAATGGACATAAATGGATATATGTCTGTACATAATAAGAATAAACTTTTTTCATATTCCATACAAGAAATGGAAATAAACTTGAGTATTATTGTACTTTCAAAAGGTGGAGTTAAATCATTAGCAGAAAGAAGTGAAATAAATATTACAATAATCCCCTCCACTATCAGTCTTCTAAAAAAAAATGCACAAGAGTAACATGGAATAGAATTTATGTATTTCATGCAAGAATTGTTTTGCCAGTTTCATGTTTGAAGCCATAAAGGAGACTTTTATTTGTTATATCTTGAGATAAACTGGCTCATGATGAATTTACTGCAAGGTCCTGTTCTTAGTCTGGCTTCTTTTTTTTCTATTTGTAACAAGAAATAAATAGGAGTGTGCTGATAAGAGGTTCTATCTGTTGAGTGGATGTCTGGAATGCAAAAAGTTGCATTGCTAATGGACGTCTAATTTGCCATTTACTAGCTGTTGCCTGCCTGCTGTTAATGTGATGTTTCCTAAAGTGCAAGAACTTTAGAGTGCCTGAGATATCAGACTTACACAAAGCCGATGCAGCTTGTCTGCTCTTGTGACCATAAACGATGTGTTACAGTAAAAACCCATGTTGACAGAACAAGGTCAGCGGCGAGGGATCATGTCGACCAACAGTTTGGATTTAGTGTTTTTCGTAAACATGGCCTAGCCTTGACAGATATGATGAGTACACTGACCAGTCGTAGATAAACTGCTCTTTGTACAAAATGTGTGTGTGTGTGTGTGTGTGTGTGTGTGTGTGTGTGTGTGTGTGTGTGCTCGGGGATGAAGACGGTAAGCTCCTGTACAGTGCCTATAATAAGTGTTTCTTCTCCTTGGATGTCTTCTCTCCTGATTACTTTTCAACATTGAATAATGATCAATTTAATTTGACTTTTTTGACAAGAATTTACAAAAAATACCCTTTATTTCTTTCTTAATGTGTCTCAAGTGATTGCAGTATAAAAACCCTTGAATCTAAAAGGTCCAGCCACCAGTCCTGGCTATAGGAGCTGTAGGAACAACACCCTGAGGACAAAAACAACTGTGTGAAAAGCATGTTGTCTGGGTTGTTCACCAGTCAGAGCTTCATGTCTTTCCAGAAGGCATGTGAGCGACTCTGAAGTCAGCTGCGAGAAGGTTCTTTGGTCTGATGAGGCTAAAATGAACCTTGTTGGCCATCAGACCAGATGGTCACAAAAACAACACTGGGAAGCACGGTGGCGGCAGCATCATGGTGTGTGGATGTTTCCCAGCAGAAGGCCTTGGAAGACTTGTAGTGGTAGGGGAAAGAATGAATGCAGCACCGTAGAGGGAAATCCTGGAGGACAACGTGATGCAGTCTGCAAGAGAGCTGCATTTTGGGAGAAGGTTTGTTTTCAACAAAGACAATAACCTGAAGCAAACAACCAAAGCTACACAGAAATGGTTTAAAGACAACACAGTGAATGTTCTGGAGTGGCCGAGTCAAAGCTCAAGCTTCAATCCAACTGAGAATTTCTGTTCACTCATAATCCCTGTGACACTTTTGCAAAGAAGAATCCAATAGAACTGCAGCATCCAGATGTGCACGGCTGAGTGAGACTCATCCTCCAGCCTCGATGCAGTAACTGCAGCCAAACATGCGTCTATTAAAGACTGCAATTAACTTATTTGACATTATTTTGTGTTTTTTTATCAATTGACTTTACTTTTGTTTTCACTTTGACATGAATGTATGGAGTAGCGAGAGTGCCAAATTACAAAAATAAATTAATAAAAGAATAAATAAATAAAAGTGGAAATAAAAAGAAAAATAAATACATTTGTTTAAAAAAAATGTAAAAATAAATTTTAAAATGATTTTAAAAAATAAAATCAAATTAATTAAAATGATTAAAATAAATCTAAATAAAAAATAAAAAAATAATGTTAAATTAATAATTATTATATTTATTCTTTTTTATTTCCACTTTTATTTTTTATTCTTTATTGATGTATTTATTCTTCTTTTATTTCCACTTTTTTTTTCTTTTATTGATTTCTTTTCGTAATTTGGCACTCTCACTACTCCATATAAAATAGCCTTTTTTTTGGTAAACTCTTGTCCAAAAAGCCAAATTAAACACAAAAACAATTAGCTTGAGTAAAAATGGAAATGATGACAACAGAGACAATCTAAAAACATCTACAATTATTTTATTGCCAAACTAAAACTGTCCCTGCTATTTACACTTTACAAGCTACTGTAAATATGCATCACAAATATAAAAGGTTTACATTTATATACATTATTTATATAAAGTCATGTCTAATTCACTAAAATCCATAGACCTTGTTATTTATTCATAGTCATGTTATTTCCATAGATTAACATCTCAAACAACAGCTATAATAAAATATCACACAGATTTTGTTTACGTACATGACAAATGCCTGTTTCATTTCATAATACGTCTGCTAATAAAACTGTGGTACCTGTTCGAGCTAAAGGCATTTCAAAGCAGTAGGTAGTCAGTTGTTATTTTGGCATGTGATCCCTTAAAGTGAAGAAAAACTCTTTCCATTAACCGTGACAAAGCGAACCCTTCATTTACACCACGACAACCACGGCAAATACACGTGGAAAAGCAAGGGACGGAGTTTGATACTTGGATTAAATACTTCCTCATAATTTGTCTGTAACAACAGGAGTCAGGTATGCTAAAAAAGCAAAGTGTTATAAATAAAATGAGACAAGTGAGGATTTACACTTGACTTTCTAAAGCCTGAGAGTTGTGACACGACATGAAACCATCTTTGGGTGCAAGTATTTGTTATCACATGTTCTCTTTTTATCCAAGGTTAAATATTGCATTGTTTTGTAAATATGTGATCTATATTCCTATAAATGTTACAGCAAAAAGTGAACTCATATGCAGTTAATTCCCATAATAACCATTCAAGTGTTGGAAGCGTTCATCCACGTACTTAAAGTCGAGCTAAACGTGTCTCCACAGACTGAACATGAGGAGGTCTAACACATCATTTCTTGTCACATCTTTTAAGAAAGGGCTTCGTAATACTAACAACTGCACAGATCGGGGCTTTTAAACTCTTCACTATAAGATGCCAAATGCACAGTATCACAATAACATCGACACATGACAGTGCTGGAAGGAAAATCTCTGCTACTGTGCGCTTCACGATAGCAACTACAGGACAGACTGGACCTCATGCAAAACATGAACCGTAGGTCTAAATATTCAACATGACTGATCAAAAATACTACAAACTAGTAAAGCAAAGACAGCGTATCAGAATCACAATCATTCAAATCATCGAATTTAAATCTGCCAGCCCACCAGCAGGCTCAACATCCTGTTGTAGGCTGAGTTTGATCTAAAAGGTGGGCTCACGTTTTCAAATGTATGGCTAGCCATGGACAAAGTTTTGGTTTTGTTTAATTTAAATGTTTTGAGATGTACACATTGCACAAAAAAAACTGTATCTCAGACAACCAAAACTATCTACATGGCTAGATAAGGAACATTTTCTCCATTTATTACTAGTTAGTGGAGAATATTTGTCATATATTTTAAATTTAGACGAACCCATCCTTTAAAGTCCTGCTAATTTAAAAGAATGGATGAAATCAGGAGCTGGCTGCTGGTCAGCTCTGCAAAAACCCTGGAGACTGTGTATAATAAGTGGCTGAGTGAGCTTCAGATGTGCACGTAGATGTATTTTTATCTTTGGACTGAGCCCGGCCGGCTTTTTAACCCTTGTTTCCTGTCATTATGCTAAGCTTTGTGCTAGCAGTAGCTGTAGCTTTACATGTTGTTTACAGGCATAAGAGAGGTGCTAATCCTTTCACTAAATAAACGTTTCATAAAATGTCTATTTCTTTTCAGAGCAGCCTTTAAAAAAACCCTCAAATTTGAATTTTCACTCAATGCAAGCATCATAGAACTTCAGTGAAGTGCTTTGATATTCTGACAGTGTGTGAAAATGTTCTTTAAGAAACCTTTAATGGGGGAATTAAACTTTTAAAGGATTGATAAACTTGTACTTGGTTTAAAACTGTACTTGGTTTACATTCAGTCTGGTATATATGTGCTCAATGTTTTATAAAGGGAGCTATCAAATCCTTAAATAAAGCACTTTGCATTTAATCAAGCTAACTATAACTCTGAGCTAAAACAAAATCATACACCACGTATTGGGATTATTAACTTCGCCATATACAGTAGTTAAATATAATCCATTTAGAAATTAAAAACACAGATAAAGTAGCTAGCTAAATAAATATACACTCCTGTTTTTACTGGATAGTTTGCATGCTGTTCCAAATGCTAAAAGGCACTGGGGTTTGTGAAGAAGGTTTGTTGATTTATGCATAAGGAACAAAAAAAACTACCGACACGTAAAATGTCAGCTGCAGCTTTAAAGCACTTCTTTGTCTTATAACACACAACGAGGAAGCTGCTGGTTCAGGATCAGATCACGACTGTCCTCTTCTGTGCGTCTCACGGATCATAATTTTAATGTTGTTTTGCTATTCCTCTTGTATACTGCATCTCAATTACCTCCCGTCTTTAGCAAAAAGACGATCATTCTCTATGTGTCCGTACAGTACCAGCTGCAGTTGTTTGTGTGTAAATAAAGAGGAAGCGACAGGAAAAGGACCGGGTGGCGCCCAAACAGACGGCAGCTTTAAAAAAAAAGACCCTGTTCGTTCCTGATTATTCAAATAAATTGCATTTTCATTGCTCTGCGTTAAATTAAATTATAAAATGTCATTATAAAAGTACTTTGTTCAGATATGTGTTAAGTTACAATCAGAAAGTTAATTTATTTGATCAATAAAAGGGTGATTCCTACCCATACTGTGTGTTTTGTGCTGTTGCAAACCCCACTGAGGTGATAGTGCTCCCTTTACCCTGACCGTTTAATGTACCCCTCTCCCAGGACCTCACACTCTGAGGCAGCATCTAGTGGGCTCCTGCAGCAAGGCCGCCCCCTGTTGTCCAGTCGATGAATATGAAGCTCAGACTCATGACCATGAAAGAGACGCCCAGAGCAGCAAAACAGACGGCCTGAGAACGAGAGGGGGAAACACACATCCAGGGTTAACTGTCACAAAAAGGCTGTATTACCACATTACTGTAAGTGATTGTAATTTAAGGCCTCACCACAATCTTGGGAGTAGAGTTCATGGGTTCATCCTCTTTGGGAACGATGCGGATGTAGAAGACAGCGGGGAAGATGAAAATGAGGCAGGGAGCTGACGTGGCGCCTGAAAGGACAAAGAGGAAGAACAGGTTGAAATCAGAGCATCGAAAGTTTGACTGAACACTAGAGACGTCCTGAGATCCTAAAACCCATTTTTGTTTACGTCCACTGTCACACCAGTTGTAAATCAGTCAGGATTACCAACATTATTTGTATTTGCTAAACGCCAGAATAATGAGAGAGAGAAGGTTTTTTTACTACTTTCTTCAAAGTTAGAAGTTTGCATCCACTAAGATGCCTTCAAACTATTTGTTAAAGCCCAGATGATGATGTCATGGCTTTGGAAGCTTTTGATTGGTTAATTGACAACATGTGAGTTAATTGGAGGCACACCTGTGGATGTATTTTAAGGCACACCTCAAACACGCTGCTTCCTTCTGTGACAACATGGAAAATCTAAAGAAATCAGACAAGATATCAGGAAGAGAACTGTGGACCTCCAACAGTCTGGTTCATCCTTGGGTTCAACTTCCAGATGGCTGAAGGTTCCACGTTCATCTGTTCAGACAGTTCTATCAAGTATAAACACCATGGGAATGTCCAGCCATCATAGCGCTCAGGAAGGAGACGGGTTCTGTGTCCCAACCCCAGAAGAGGAAGAAGACATCACTCCAGAAGAAACATCAAAAAGACAGATTGTAGTTTGTAGATGCACACAGGGACAAAGAGCTTCATCAGTGGAGACATGTCCTGTGGTCTGATGGAACTAAAACTGTTTGGCCTTGATGACCATCAGTACATCTGGAGGAAAAAGGAGGAAGCTTGAAGCCTGAGAACACCATCCCAGCTGTGGAGCACAGGGGTGGCAGCATCATGCTGCAGAAGGGACTGGTGCACTTCACAGAATAGATGGCATCATGAGGAAAGAACATCATGTGGAAATATTGAAGCAAGATCTCAAGACATCAGCAGGAAGTTAAAGCTTGGACACTAATGGGTCTTCAGATGGACAATGACCCTCAGCATAGCGCCAGATTAACTACAGAGAGGCTTCAGGACAACAGAGTCAATGTTGTGGAGTGGCCATCACAAAGCCCTGATCTCGATCCTGGAGAACATTAGTGTAGCAAGGAGACCAACAAACCTGACTCAGTTCCACCAGTTCTGTCAGGAGGAATGGGCCAGAATTCATCAGACTATGGTGAGAAGCTTGTGGAAGGAAACCCAGAACATTTGACCCAAGTCATAGAGTTTAAAGGCAACGCTACCAAATGGATGGATGGAGATGGATGTCAACTTCTGACTTTGAAGAAAGTCATGAAAACTTCTCTCTCTCATTATTCTGGCATTTAGCAAATAGAAATATTGTTGGTAATCCTAACTGACCGGAAAAGTTTAGTCTGATTTAATGTCAGACAGTGAGAAAAAAAACATTATGTGCCTTTTAATACAGTGGATGTAAACTTCTGGTTTCATCCACTTGCCAACACAGACGTCCTCTGGTTGCAACAATAACCAATAGGATGCTCCTGGTTGCTCCACCTAGTGGCGCAACCAGGTACTTCAACTACAAGACTTAAAGTGTTTATTATCTACTAAAATGGTGCATCGGCAGATACTAGAAAATAAATGTCTGTCAATGTCTCGGATCAGGACATTACGACTGAGCACAGCAATATATATATGAAACACATATAAGACTTTTCTTTTTAATTAATTTTCTTTTTTTTCTATTTATTGATATGATCAGGCATCATGTATATGTGTTCATGTGTTTAACTTGCAACAGAAGCTGTATGACAAACGTAAATATCCTTCACAATGGACTCTAATGTTATTATTGAGATTTTTAGTTTAAGCCTGTGTACAGAAGAAATCTGTCTGAGTTTAGTTTAGTCACAACCTGTCTCATTCATTAAATGTTTTAGTGATAATACCCCAAGGCTGTGGACATAACATGGAGATCAGTGGGACAAGTATCATTCTAAATTAGTTGGTCTTCGTTTGGACGATAAGAAAAACAGTTGAACAATACTGAAGGATTAATAAATTCAATGCCATACTAAAAAAATTACAAAACATTAAGAACATCAGTGAGTTAACCAGTGTCACTAAACTTATTAACATACTTATAAAAAAAACAACAGAAATATTTAATGGAGTATGCTTAATGGGGCATGTAGAAGCCAATAATGTAATAACACGATAACGCAATAAATTTGCACTTTTTAAAATGTAATAGGCCGATAATGTAATAAAAGTCCTGAACCGTAATATCTTTTGGCCAATAACATAACAAGTTAATGTGTTATTGGCCTGGTGAAAAAGATAAATAGAATAAAGCTTTGCAAAAGTAATAACCGTGTAATAACCAAGTAATAAGCTATTACGTTATTGGTTCAGGACTTTTATTATGTTATCGGCCAGTTATCACGTTATTGGCTTCTACAGGGCATTTGTTTTGTTTATTTACTTGTTTACTCATCATTTTATTCATATCAAGGTGTAGCTTCTTTTTGGTTTTGGTTTAATGTTTACATAGCCGCTGTTAGGATCTAAAAAAAAAAATGTCTAAAGCACACAGAGGAGCACAGTTCAGCTCCTTCTACAGCATCATGGGCACAGCTAGGAAATATTACAGACAGTAAAAAAACACAAATAGCTTCTTCTTTCTACTGTTTTTACCTCATTTTTTCTGTTTTTCTGCTTAAATTTAACATAGCTATTCTCACATATATACATATTTACACAACAAACACAACCTCCGATGAAAACAGCTCCACGTGTTGCATCATCTAATATTTTATCTTCCGTTTCTGTGCATAGGTGAGCTCCATGTACTCCCGCATATCTACCTAAATACATCCACATGTTTGTAAAAGCTGAAGCTTTGACCGGGTCCTTGGTGGTCGTTTAACTTAATGTTGTCAACTTTCACCTCTGACCCGCGAAGCATGACCCGCAATCTGAGGACAAAGTGTGACAATAATATTGACTCAAGCGAGCTGTCGGTCGGTCCGAGCGAGCAAACATGCTCTGGTCACGTGTTTTTGTTGTGTTTTTTTTTTTTGCATCAGGAACGAGAAAGTCTGAAACACAACAGACGTGAAATGGGGATTTAGTCTGCAAATTAAAGATCATAATACAACCTGCACTCAGACAAATCAACACGAGTGAATGAGGCAGGCATGAAGGACTTGTTCTCTTGTTTTTTTAGGTACGACAAGGATTTTTCTTTTATGTGTGCGATTAAAAAACATTACCAAGAGGAGCTGATGGCCGTTAAGGCTCAAGGTGATACGTCTACATCAGTTTGTTATATAGTTGAAGGCCTTACACGAGGACAACATCTCTGTTGATTCTGTGCTTTACTAACCAATGATGCCGAAGATGCCCAGAATGTTGGGGGCAAAGATCACCAGCATGTTGATGAGGGTGAGCAGAACGAGAGCGATGCAGGTGTGGCGTATCCAGTTGAAGGACTTGGTGGGGAACAACATCTGCTGGATGGCTCTACGCACCTGAGGGAAGGATGAATGCGCTTTAGAAAAAAGACACAATTGAGCAATAAGTAAATAGACAAAGGGCCTCGAGCTTACAGGAAACAACACGATCGGGACCGTCAGCGTCACGGCGGTGAGGACGGCGACGCGCACACACAGGATCAAAGTGTCATAGGGATCGATCCGGCTGTAGGTGTGCAGCAGTTCGGGCTCCACATTGTCTGCAGGAATAAGAGGAGAGCTTATTATTGCATGTGGATATCAGTGAACAGTAATAAGGTTGTAACAGAGCGAGTTACGTTATCACGGTCACCACCAGAGGGCGCCTGGACTCCATGAAATAAGCAAATGGTGTACAAGGTTTAATGAATGTTTTTTTTTTTTCTTCAATGCAGAGAAAAACTGGAGGCATCAATACTCGCTGAGAGTAAAATAAATCACTGGTTAGAATTTTTATTTTTTTATTTTTTTTAAATAAGGGAGTTTTTTTTCACAGAAGTTCTAAAATGATATTTTGTCTGCTTGCTGTTACTGTATTAATTTATTCAATTTACATTGAATTTATATATATTGAATTTACACATATTTAATTAATTTAATTTAATTTAATTTAATTTAATTTAATTTAATTTAATTTAATTTTATTTTAATTTAATTTATTTTCTACATTCGTATCCCCGTGCATTTTTCTTTTATTTGTGTGGGACACTGAATGGAAATTAGTCTTGTGCTAAATGTGGCATATTTACTGCAATCTGTGATTGTACGTTCCGTAATGTCCCGTCCAAACAAACAAACAAACAAATAAATAAATAAATAAAAGCTGCATTGGGGAAAGGTTTTAATGTACATTTGTTAAAGTCTCAGCAGCTTTGATCACAAATTGTTGCCCAAGTTATTTTCATTTCTCTATTATACACTAAGTCACCAGTTGTTGCTGTGAACAGATAATTGCAAACAAATGCGCTTCAGTTAATTATGATTCTTTAAATTTCTTGCTTAATATTTAATTACATAACTTCCGGATAATGGTGCTTTTAAAACAGTTCTCCTCTACCGCCAAATGGGCTTTAATTTGCATGGTGCAGCTTTTAAATGGCAAAACGAGCAAACTGACAGGTTTTTAATATTTGGACCTTGATCCTTTTTTTCCTTTTTTTAAACCTTAATTGCCTCTCTTTGAAAAAAGCATTTCTTTTTATTTATTGTGTCCAAGCCAAAGCAGCATTCTGTCCGCCTCACTTTTTATCGTTTGACAGGAAGACACAACCATCAGCACACTGACTATCTGACTCGTGTATAAACATTTGTATTCATCCACTAGTGCTGACAACATTAAGAGCAAAAGAAGTGCCAGGGACAGCTGTTCTCACCATAAAAGGTCAGGTACCCAAAGAGAGCTGCCAGAAAGTACATGGTGTACATGACGAGGATGGAGAGGTTGGACACCTTCTGCATCTTCTTCTGTGTTGGACTGAAATCAAGCAGTTGACAGTTATGCAAATGCAACATTTCTCAATGGTATCAAATATTACAGAGCGGTGACTCACTTGCGTAGCTCGGTGTAGATGGGCAGAACCTCAGGGTGGCAAACAAAAGCGAAAGCCAAGATGGGGATGGTGTAGGCTGTCTGTGAAGGAGCACATAAACACGTGACTCTCTATTATTAGCAATGCTGTTAAGCCTCCAAATAAAAGCGTGTGAACTCAGGTAAGTGTGGCCGCAGTGTTCAAGAGTGATTCATGTCCACGTACCTGTGAGTTGACGGTGAACATGCGTGGGGTGCAGTGGGAGTCATCGTGGGCGTCCTCGTGAATCAGACCGTTGTTGTACTCGTGAACGTGGCTCGAGACGTTCAGGCTGTGGTGGGCAGCGGTAGTGTTGTGTGAGAACTCCTCAAAGGGGCAGGGAATCTGAAACTTCTTATAGGTAACCTGAAGAAAAGAGGAGATGTGTCAGTAAACAAGAGCCTCAAACCATCAACGACAAGCTGAAAAAAAAAAAAACGCGCTTCAAACCAGATTAGGGTGACTCAGCTTCTAATTGCTCAGGTTTTACTCTCATGCTTTGATGTGTCTAAGTAGCTGTTACATTCGCCTTATCAAACACATCCACATACCGCTGAAAATAGAGACCGGGGTGGGAAAGACACAAGGGTGGGAAAGTGAAAAGCATATGTGCCAGAAAGACATGCCAAAATAAATGAGGCTTCGTGTGAAAAGTAACTGTGATGATGTGCCACTGTGTGAGCTGGATCGACTTACCGCGGTGAGAAAGAACACCATGCAGCTGAGAGAAAACCCACTGGTGTAGCCGAGGTAGCCTGAAAGTACAAGGAAAGAGAAATTGTTGACCGGGACAACTATTAACAAAACGTCCAAGAAGTCTACGGACAGAAAAAGATTTGCTCTTCCCTGTAATAAACCATCCTGACAATGTGCAGATTGACCTCACAGCGCTGTGAGGGCAGAAACAACTTTTTCTAAGTTTGAACTGTGTTATAATGAACGGATTACGATTGAATCGAGAGCGGTAATTGAGCACCTGCCGTTTCCGCAGCCGGCAGTCGGATAAAAACACACTAATTGCTCGACTTTAATGTAACGGCTTCATCAAAACGTCACCGCGTAAGTTGGCTTCGAATCAAAAGAAACTCTTAATTAACAAGTTCTAAATATAGAAAATGCTTCTTACGAAGAAATGCATGAGTTAGATAAACGTACTGCAGAAGAAAAAAAATCCTTTTGAAATCCTGGAAAAGAGCAAAACTATTTAGTGTGAGTTATGAATAATGAACAGACAAAAAAGTAAAACGACAAGATGTTATAAAGGGACAGTGAAGAGAAGGACGTTGAGTAAGAATCTATGGCACTGTGGCCCAGAAACAACAGCTGGAACTTCTGGAGGCCCAGCTAGGGTGTTTGATGTGAAAATAAAAATTATTACATTAAACTTAAAATCAGGATATTGTACAATAAATCATTGTGAGATCATGTGTCAAACTGATGAGAATCTTCCGTAATTTTTTATAATGTTAAGACTTTATTGCAGACACATGGGGGAGTTGCAACAGGCGTCCCTGGCCTCGGCTACAGCTGAACCTTCTGCTTGGTTCCCGGTCAGTGTCTGGACCCCTTCAACTGGATTAAACGGATTGGATTGTTTGAGGTACCAGTGAGACGGTTTGAGATCAGTGAATTTGAATTCTTCTCAGCTTATCTTTTATCACAGCGATTGCAAAATATTTCCACCGGCTGTGCCAGCGTGCGAGTACGTGATTGGTCGCCGCAGCATTTTGTCAACATCGAGGGGAAAGTTTCTGAACTGACCTCGTTTGAATTAGTAAAGAGGTTGTGGTTTGATATGCAGGGCCGCTGTCAGATAGTATTTTATTTGTTTATCTACATTTACAGATGATATACCTCAATCACACCAGCTACAACACACTGATGGCTCCCGGTAATGGACTCAAATGTTAAATTTAGGCATGTTAAAGACACCATTAGGTTAGCGTTACTCACCAAGCTGCTTCATTAAAGCCAGGGGCAGGATGATACTGGCAGAGACCATGATGACCAGGTAGTTTCCATTCAAGTACCACAGACTGTTTGGAGGGAAAGAAAAAAAAAGTCTAGTTTACTTTGGTGAGCTCCATATTTCAAACACTGGCACTGAGACTCATCACACACAGGGACAGAGACAGAAACAGAGTGGAAAGTCTACGAAAGTGACAAATTGGTCTATATGTTTAACGAAACTGTCAGGGCTGCTTTTAAAATTGTGTAATCTGAGAGCACGTGTTTGAAAGAAATCTAGCGGCCCAAACGGTTGATGTGCTGCATTCTGTCAGGCCAGCAGTAACCTGTTGGGAACGTCCTTGGCCTCAAGATTGTGGAAAAAACGTGTCTGCTTATGTTGCTCTCGACCGAAGCCCTGGAATAGAGCGTTACGTAACTGGGATGATTTATGCGACAGTTCACATGCGGAAAAGGAAGATTAAAAGTGGACCCCGAACAACACAGAAGTTAGCAAATGTCACCAATGTCAACATCTCAGTTCCATTTAATTTGCTCCTTCAAGACATAAAAACACACGAACATGGACAGATGCATCTGATCCGCCTGCCCTGCTGCTGCATCATCGTTTCCTATATGTGAGATGGCACATGTCCTCCCGTTAAACATACCGTGCATGCCCTTCATGAAACACTCCTCCCTTGTATAACCTAAATAGTCCACATCACATGTACATATGTGTGTTCTTAACACATGCGGGCCTGCTGGTGTGAGGATGCAGCGAGACTGGCTGCGTGTCACAGCGTTCCTGTTACGGTGACCCAGTGTTGTAATATAGGATGAACATGAGATAATAGACTATCAGTTCTGGCATTATTGTTTATCACAAACAGATATCATGTGGTTTATACTGGAGGTGTTTTTAGTAAACAGATGGTTTGAGGGCAGCTGTGGTTCAGGTGGTAGAGCGTCTTGTCCTCCAATCGCAGGTTTGATCCGCTGCCCCTCCACAGTCGAAGCGTCCTTGGGCAAGACACTGAACCTGAAGTTGCTCCCGATGGTAGGCAGCACCTTCCATGCCAGCTCTGTCACCATTGGTGTATGAATGTGTGTGTGAATGGGTGAATGAGAAACACATTGTTAAGTGCTTTGGATAAAAGTGCTATGTAACTACAGACCATTTACCATTTAGATGGTTAAACAGCTTATTCACAGACCTGTGAGCGTATATTCTGACGACAATAATAGTAAATCTGAAGTATCAGCAGCTGAGGAAGCCCAGCAACATGCAGCTTATAGAAATTACTGTCAAACCATTAAAGCCTACTGTCTCCTAAATCCTGTGTACAGAAAGTCTTTGTGCCCTCCAGCCCCTCTTCAAGCGACTAAGCCTGTTATTCTTAGCCCTGAATGAAACACAACCAGTGGGATCATCTGTCGGCCATAACCCCTACAGGCTGGAGCACACCGTGATCTATCAGATCAGCCGTATGTGTGCGTGCGTGCACGTACGTGCACATGCATGAGTTTTTGGAAGAGTCCCTTGAAAGCAAGAGGAAACCACACAAATCCCAGGTCATGCCTCCTTTGGCCCTTTGGTCAGTGGGTCATTTCAGATGATCCACTTTCGCACGCGGGAGTCACTTGAGATGGACCACTCGGGTCTGGAGTTCAAATTAAAGTCAAGTTCTTGAGCACAAGTCCAAATCAAATTTAGGTCATGTTTTGAAGGACTCCAAACGGTATTTTAACATTTTGCTTGTGAGGTTTCATCAGTGGTGTGCTTTTCACATCGCTGAGAAAACGTCTGTTTTTCCTTGAAGTGACACTAATCAGGTCATAGTGGTAATGAATCACACGGCCACAAGCATGCAAAGTCACTTCCAACGACCCTGTAGATCAGGGGTGTTGAATCCTGGTCCTCGAGGGCCGCAATCCTGCAAGTTTTAGATGTTTCCCTCTTCCAACACACCTGATTCAAATGATCAGGATGGTTATCAGGCTTCTGCAGAGCTTGTTGATGAGCTCATCATTTGAATCAGGTGTGTTGGAAGAGGGGAACCTTTTAGGCCTTGCGGGTTTGGGGCCTTGGGGGCCCGGGTTGGACACCCCTGCTGTAGATGCCCTCATTTCTGCAGCTAGTGTCCTTCAGCTTAAAGTTTTGGTTTTCTCGCCCTCACATTTATGGTTTTATGTGAGTCTCATGACCATCATAGTGTCATTTCTCAACACAGCATGTTTGTGCTGTCTTATGTATCTGCCTAGCACCAAATGGCACAAAAAAACACAAAATTAGCAAAGTAAGTGCCCCGAAAAAGTTTATTAATTAATCTCTTTTCCTTGAGTGTTTCCGTGACTGCATCTGGCTCAAGTCTGAAATCTGCTCTGGGTGAATCCCTGCTACGTTCAAATGTCTGATTCTCTCAAACACTCCACTGCAAAGTGTGCATTATACCAGATAACCCTCACAACTTCCAAATGACACAACGAAACAGAACTCACATGTACACTATGTACCGATAGAAACAACTCGAGCTACAAGTGAAAGGTACTCGACTGTCCATCGGCCACACGTCATTACTCGTCTATTTAAAGAGCCGCCGGTCATAAATAAAGCCCCACCCCGCCATCCGCCCATCATTCCACCCAGTTCTTGTGACGGCGTGGATTCAAACAGCAACACGAGTGCGGGATGGAAACGAACAGCGTGTGTCTCGGTTGTTGGGACTTGGCCCTGAGCTGACCCGTGCCCATGTGACGCCACCTGCTGCTGCCACTTCTCTGTGTGTTCATGTGAGGTACACTGAGGTGTCCTAATGCTTGTTCTAATGCGTCAATTTGAGGTGCTTGGCAGTTGGGTTATTCCAAGTAATTAGCCATAGTTGTTTTTGTGGATTTATGCTCAGCTGCTTCTGTCTCTTCGTGAAATCCTAGACTGACTGGATCAGGATTCTGGTGCGTCTGTACCAGCTGTTGCAAGACTCCTACTTGCTCTTTAGGACTGGACATGCAGTTTGAATGTGGGACCTCCCTGACGCTAATGGGCAAACATTTAAATATTTATAAATGCCACACTCGAAAATTATTCAGCAATTAAGCGTGATCACTTTCCCTTCGGAGAGCTTAGACCTGCGGTTAAGAGTTTACTGAAGAGCATAAGTAGGAAAACAAGTCCTTGCTAGACAACAGCGGGGAGATTGTTCAGGCCACATGTCTCAATAGACTTCTTGTGTTGAGACATTACACAATTCTGCGAAATATTACTGAATGGGAGTCCTTGGAGACGACTGTCTGGAGCAGAACGGCTCCTTCACATAGTGTAGCTGCAGTGGCTACACGGGGTTTGATTTTAGCACAAGGTTTGTTTTTAGATCTGAACAGGCAGCTGGAATCCACTTCAGTCCTGCATGTCCTTATGCAGAGTGTCTGTGTCTGTGGCATGACTCTGACGTGAACACTGCCTGCCTGCGCAAGCTGACAGCAGCGAAGGTTTGTGTTGTGTGTATATGTAACCGACAGACACCCAATCACACCCCCCCACGTTGCTCAGCCAATTCCAAGTTTCCAATCTTATCGCACACACCACCCCCCCTCCCTCCACACCGACTGAGTCAATACATGGTACAAACTGGCTGCCCACATAGCCTGCCAGGCCCCTTGACCCTGCACACGGTGTCTGAGCTCAGGCAGGAGTCACATGCCTTCCACTGGCACCGGCACTGTGGTGTTGACACTGAAGGGGAGCATAGATGATAATACTCACTCAGAGTTGGGGTCTGCCTTCAGGAAAGCTTGGATGACCAGAGGTAACTCAGATTTGACAATGTACAGGTAGCTGGACATAGCTGCAGCAAGAGAAGTCAGAGGAAACGTGAGAATGAGTGGACGACCATACCTGAGCGCATACATGCTGGAACATTATTAAACAGATATCAATGAAGTCATGTCACAACATTGTCAACACTGCAGCTTTATACTATAAACTCTTATAAAAAGTTGGGTGTTTCAGTAATCTGGGGAAGATTTTTTTTTACAGATGGGCAAAATGTTCCTGCTTGCTACTTTAAGGCAAACAAAAAAAAGTAGTATTTCACCAACAGGAACTACTTGTAGGTTTTGTGTTTGCGTCAGAAGGAAGCGGTGCACTCAGGTGACCCTTCAGAATGGAGTCACACTGCACTGATTGCATTCACACCTGGATGAGATCAGATTACAGCGTCCGTCCGTCTGCCTCCATATGTGGACTGGTTGGTTCTGTGTGCATTCACATTTCACACATCTAGATTATTAATCAGATCCCATGTTAATACCAGGTGTGAATGATATAACTGGCAGCAGTCAAGTGGGATTGTTTTCATTTGCAAGTACTGGATCAATGTTGGACTGAAAATCTGTATCAAAAACTTGCACTCACTCTAATTTAGCCGGTCGTGCTGGTGAATTAACTTAATGATGATCTAATTTTTCTCAACAAAGCTTTGGTCAGAGATTTCTATTCACACATGCTGTTCGATGAGTGGGAGGAATTCTCTGAAATGTCATCCCCACAGAGAACACGGCTGTTTACCAACATGACTCTGATTCTTTGCTCTAAGCACTCTTCCATACCCTGTACTTATAACTAAGAACAAAAGCCAGTGGTTTAGATGAATCTAGTCATGTGTGTGGCCGTGTGTAAGTCACAGTGTCGCGATGGGGTGTTTGCAGATATTCAGCATCTTTGTGAACACATTAATCAGTCGCTCCGGCTCCTCACCTCCAATGTTCTGCAGGGTGATCGCGATGCCAGCAGCCATTTTTCCAGGAGTGCCGAAGGCCCTGTACCCCAGCTGCTCATAGGCTCGAATCCCTGTAGGCGGATTACAGACAATATCAGTTGTACAGATGTTCCTCTACAGGAAAACAGTTGCACATAAGGCCATGTTTCACAGTTTTATTATTTGTCTGGACATTTTAGGCTTTGCCACACACCACAATACAGAATAGACAGTTTTATTACAGTTCCTTCATGGATTCAGTCGGAGAAGTTAAGCTGACTGAAAGACAAATTGTTTAATGATATAGTGTGTTTAAACCATTTTTTAAATTAACAAGCTTTAAGTCAAGTATGCAACTAAAACGGTCCCTGATCCAGCTGCAGCAGAACTGTTGCACTGCGTTCTGTCGTTTTGCTAACATAGAATGCTGTTGTCCTATTTCTTTACAAAAGGCTGAGACGCGACACCAGGCTTACCCACAATGCCAGAGGATTTGAGCAGCAGATGAATGGAGTAAGATGACAAGGCTGCTACTGCAGTCAGAAGAAATCTGCGACACAATACAGAAGAGGAAGTCAGACATAGAAACTGCATTTTACACGTACTCTTGCACTGCATTGCACCACATTCTACATTTCTGGGATCATAATCCTGTTATTCCTCTTCTACAATAATCATTTGCACTAAGACATGATGTACTTTGCAAACATTTTTTTGTTTTCCCATGCATTCATGATTGGAAAGTCAGTAAGTCTGAGAAGTTGAGCTGCAGTGGCGGCTCATGTTGCTGGATTTCCAGCCGTTGTTTGACATTTTAAAGCTGCTGAAAATGCTAAAATTGCTGTAAAACAATAAACATGAAAGGACAAAACATCCACTTTGTGTCTTTGTGATACTAATAAGGACTATAAATGTTCTCCCTCTCCTGTGAACAGAGGTCAGTAGTCCTACACATTGATGAAAACGTTATTTCCCAGAACCCCTTTTGTGTCTAGAGCTGCGGCGGTCCTCCTACAGAGCCCTGAGCGATTCAACACCGGTCAACATTCTTGATAGGTCAGAGGTCGGTCCCAAACCCATCACCTTTCTCAGACATTTCTCCAGCATTCATGTAAATTCACATGAGAATCACGACCCTTTGCCAGTAAGCACAGGGCCTGAGCCAAACCCTGAGATTCCACTGAACCAGCACTCGCATAAAAGCTGCATAAATCCCTCGAATCACAAAACAAATCATTCCGCTGACCAGGACTGAGAATGTCTATTTGTGTCGCTGCCGGTAAATCAAGGATTTTCTTTATACTAAAGGTTATAATAAAATCAAGACTTTCTGTATAACAGCAGAAAGGAAACACAAGAACAAATGGAGCAAAGACATTAAGAATATGTTAAACATTAGTGACCACTGAATGTCAACAGAGCAAAGTGGTGTCTGACGCAATACAGTTAAAACAAGAGTGAAACATTGCAGAAACAATGGGAAAAAATGGCTAAAATGCAGAATAAGAAGTGAAGATGACTGCTGTGTTGTGTAACTAAAACGTGTTTCTTTGCCACCTCTGTTTATTTTTTTATATTTGGAGTGATTCTACATCCAGACGTTGCTGGTTCAAAGCTTTTTAAATTGATACAACTGCCTTACAAGCTTTAGGTGGTCTTAAATCGTAACCACAGCTGAGCTCATCCTCCAGACAAATCAATCAGCCTCAGACACTGTACCATCATCAGTGGAGATCTTCCACTCTGTGTGCTACATAAACACAGACGACAAGACAACCAGAGTGATGATCCGACAGAAGACGTCTGCACGGATAAGAAATACAGAAAAGGCCGATCCAGATGCCTCACACAGGAACGGGAGGTTCAGTTATTCTGAGCTGTGGCCTTTCTGGGGGCCTATATGTGGTAATGAGGAAGGGATGAGAGCCTGAGAAAAGGTATGAATAGAAGTGGGTATATCATGATATGCGATATGGGCCAACATGTCAGGACACACAGCCCACTAAATCAGTCCTATATGTAATAGTACCAGCACAGCAGAATGTGCCTGAGCTTCCTTAGCCGAGGAATCACAGTTAGAGGGCTCCATGTTGATTTTGCCAACTAGTTTGACTATAGTTTACCCCTTTAATCCTCTGACTTGCTAGTAGTTAGATGAGAAAATCAGTATTACTTTCATACTATATCCATCTGTTCGATATAAAACTGGGACCAGCAGGCAAGCAGCTTAATTTTTAATCAGCAAACAACAAACCTGGTTCTGCTTGAGAATGACAAAGTCAGTCATTTTTATTAACATGTTATTCCTCATCTCTTTATACCACCAAACTGAAGTGTAAAAACATGAAGTGGTTTCATGAAGTCTTTAATTCTTGCCTGACAGTTTCCCCATCATGAGAAGGGTCTACGATGTCATTAGTGAATTTTATAGGTGTAGCTATTTACATTTTGTTCGCTTGTTCCCTTCAGTGTTTCCTCTTATTCCATCTATATAAGTTAATCAGCTGCAGCAGTATATTTGGACAGAAACCAAGGTGGCACCAGTGCTCTTATTTTGAAAAGAAAATGAATAATTGGCCAAAACTTGGTAAAAAAAACTGTCCAACCATCAGCATGTTAGGTGGGTTTATAGTTTAGTTTATATCATATGGAAGCGTCATATAAATTCTGTTCTATTTACTCACAAGAAGAGGAGGATGCCAGTGTTGGCCATAGCATAAGCCAGTCCAAGGATTCCACTGCCCATGATAGCATTGCCCAGGTTGAAGACTGACATGCCAAAAGAGGTCTTTCCTTCAAACTGTGGACGTAGTTTGAGAAAACAAATAAGAGCATACATGAAATCTCAAATTTTACCATCCTGTTGCGTGTCCATAAACGAGGCTTTCTCACTTACATCGGTGAAACGTATGGGTTTCTTTCCATCTGCACTGGGCAAAAATCCCTCATTCTCCAGTCCTCCATCGGGGTCATCAAATCTAGGGGTCACATTTACGGCTGTTAGTTGACGGTGTGTCTACCCACCTTTAAAAAGTGTGCAAATATGTGCCGTGGCCAGTCGTAAATGACATGCTTGGTTTATTTGTAGATTACATAAAATCAAATATGCAGTTGAAAACCCTTGACACACAACGCCACAAACATACCTGACTGTTTGAGTGCCATTTCTGTGTGAGGATCCACCAGGTGAGGCGAACACAAAAACAAGGTAAACATGCATTTAAAAAAAACAAAACATTATGCAGGGAGGCAGTCATACAACATGTTGCTCACCACATCTGGTCATTAATAATGAGTAACTTATCACATTCATCAAAGGGTCTGTTTTTAGCTTCTAAATTCATATTTATGTGTAAAAAGAATATTAGTTCATTTTTATTTACTGTGAATAATTAAGGACATGGTTTTCACACGAGGGCAAAATGACAAGGTGCTTACATGCAGAGTTAAAACATCAAGAAAACCATTAATCTGTGAAGGAAGACCACTCACTGATCCTCCTCTGGCATCATCTTCATCGGCACGCCCACGTCATCGCCGAGGTTGTGACTTTTACCGTTGGATAATATGTTCATCTCTGACTGAGAGGGCTCCATCGTCCAAGTTATATCAGGTTCTTTTTGGCTCGTATGCGTTTAATGAAGGGGATCCGCCTGAGAAACTTGAACTCTTGGATATCTAGGGCAGACGAGGTAAAAGCATGAGTCAGAAGAGAGAGAGAAACAGATAAGAAGGCTTGTTTTAGATATGCTGTTTCATGAACTCGGTGCACACGTTGCATGTTTAAAAGCCCCGAAAACATCTCAGCCAACTTCTTTTGGGCAAAACACAAGTTCGCTGTAAAAATCAAAACAATTTTGGTCAGTTCATGAACCAGGACTCTTTCTAGAGCTGCCTGCCTGCCAAACATTGAACATGAACATTAGATGATGATGATGATGATCACTCTGGATGAGCTTCAGAGGCCCAACGTGGAGATGGGAGGCACTTCCAGAAGGACAACCAATCAGCAGCCCTCCACCGATCTGGGTTTCATGGTGGATTGGCCAGGTGGAAGACTCTACTCAGTGAAAGAATTGGACTCAATACTAAGAATCCCATGTGAGGAGAATCCTGAACTGCTCATCACCTGCTGAATACCATCCCAACAGTGAAGCATGGTCGTGGCAGCATCATGCTAAGGAGGTGATTTGCAGCTGAAGGAACTACGAGACTCATCAGAAGAGCTGAACAGAGCAAAGTGCAGAAAAATCCTTAATGAGAACCTGCTCTGGAGCACTCAGGACCTCAGACTGGGTCCAAGGTTCACCTTCTTAGAGTGTACAGACAAAGTGGCTTAGGCTCAACTCTGTGAATATCCTTGGGTGGCTCAGCCAGAGGGTGGACCTGAACCCAAGACTTGAGAGGGGAGACACAAAAATGGCTGTTTCTTGACAGTCCTGAACCAACCTGACTGAGCTTAAATCTTCCAGTTCAAGAAGACTCAAGACTGAAGGGCTGCCAAAGTTGCTCAAAGCGTCAGAATACTTACATGAATGTGGTAATTCATTTTTTCTTTTTGAACACATTGCAAATATTTCTTCAATTCTGCTTTGGCTTTAACATACTGGGGTATTAAGTGTAGGTGGAAGGGTAAAATGAATGTCGACGATTCTCTGTATGACTGTATGGGGGATCTTTTCACTTTTGCACTTGGGTGGGAAAAAGTTGATATCAAACACTTCTGTGAGCAATATCCTGTGGTTTAACTTTCTTATGTTGCTGGGTAATTAAGTTTAGATCATCCCACATAATATGTTTCTGAGAGTTAAAGTCTTTAAAAAAAAAACGTTTTCTGTTTGTTGCTTCCTGCAACGAGGCGGCGCATCACAGGGATAATGTTTTCACTGCTGTCTGTTTGTCTGTGTGTGAGAAACATTACGTAAAAACTACTATTCATGAAACTTGGCGGAGAGGCGCAGCGTCGGCAAAGGAAAAATCCAATAAGCTTTGTTGCCGATCCAACTTTTGGTGTACTTTCCCTAAAATTGTGAGATAAGGCATCGGCCTTGGGGGACGTCTGTACTCTCCACTGATGACTTGTAGTTTTCAGGTTTCCCATCAGTTTGGAATGGACATAATAATCTTGTGAAACACTTTTTTGGTGTTCTTGTTTAGCTGTTTCCATCCATCCAGTTGGCATGGCTTGGTAGGTTCACGGCAGCTTCCTGTAATCCTGTGACCAGCGACAGACTTCACGAATTTCTGTCTTCAGTATTTGGACAACGAACATGCAGCGATGACTCAGTTCTACTGTTGACACGGTGACTCTCAACACACAAGACCTGACCTCATTCACTCCCTCAGTTGGTTCTTTGCGTAAAGGCTCCACAATAAATAGAATGAATGTTACATAGCTGCCGATAAACACGGGAGGAGATAAAATGCAGGAGAGTATGACAGATTCTTGTGCTTTTCAGAACGTCAGTACCGAGCAAAGCAAACAGGTCCGGACCACAAGGTCAAGGTCTATTTGAGTTTTTTTGACTTTTGTTTGCTCTCTTCTTCTATGTAGTGAAACCGCAGATTCTCAGTGCTGCTGCCGCCGACCGAAACAGGTTCCTTTATGAGGAATAGGAGCATAACGCTACCAAACAGAATGCCAAATCACCCACAACAAAAGCAGTGTGCAAAACAGTCATTACTGTAACGCTATAATTACACATTTTTAATTTTCTGTCAGTAAACGTGGGGTCTGCTGGAGTCAGAGGAGAAAGAATGCATATTAGTCATTAATCACTGCCAGCTAATTATTGATAGTTCGCCATCGTCTCTGCTGCAGTGACAGAAATGAGTGCTCTTCACTATTACATAGTGTGAGCTCAGATGGACAATGGCGCGTTGTCAGTAGCTTCCTCTGTGACCGGTGTACAGCAGCTCAATTGTTTTCACGCTGTCCTCTCTGCCAGAAGATCACTGTTACTGCTATTCATACTGTACAATTAAAGAGCATCACTGATCTCTTCCCCGCTGCAGCTTGAAAACAAACCTGGGCGGGTCAGAACAAAGGGATACTGCAGGACACAATGCCAGGTAGTGAACGAATCTGGATAATATAAACCTAAAACAGCCTCCTACCCTCACGGAGACCTTTCACTACCTTATCTCGTTATTTGCACAAAGGCAACGCGCCCCTTAACGAAACCTCAAACGTAAAAGCCCCTAATGTCAATACTTCCTGTTGCAACACCGGGCTTCGATAGGGACAGTTTACAGAGAGGTGAGAGGGGAAAATGTGTATGACGTTTACAAAATGTGATGTCATTTATGATGAGCGATAAGTTATGATTAAGAAAAAAAAAAAGACAAACTTGAGAACGTGAACGCTGCCCCGCTCGCCCCCATCAAATCGACCATCAAATCACTGTTTTTGTTCAGCTGTGTTGTGAACAATCATGGATCATCACCGCATTTACAGTAAATACAGCAAGAGGCTCATTAGCGAGACTCGTTTCCACCTCTATAGTCCCTGTTCTGGTGCAGCGTTGTACATTTAGAACCTGACAAATTGTTCTTGTAAATACACGCCAGGGACTGCTGGCAGGACAATCTGTTTGGTAAAACAAGTGAAATATGGCACGTAGTATACTGACAGTTAGTTTCACTGGTAATATTTGCAGGGTGAAATATGTAAAATACTGCGTGCATGATCTTTATATTTTCATCCATCAATACATCACTGTGACACGTGTATTTAAAGTAAGCAATTAAAGAAAACCTCAAACTTCACCATAGCCGCAGAACCTGTAGATAATAAAGGGAATTAATATTACCTTTGTGTCAAATGGAGCTTTTCTGTCCAGGATGTTCCTATTTCTTTATTATAAATATCAAATATTGTCCAAGAAATGTCTATTGGAAACTATTAGAGAACTCACAGATCCACATGATAAAGCGTTACCAGATGTTCTCTGTGCTTTAAAGAGGCGTCAGAATAATCTGTGAGGCTTCACTTCTCCCTGAGAAGTACAGCAGCCGTAGAAACATATTGGATCGAGGTTTGTCTGTTCACACACGTTCTGCAGGTAAATCAACTGCACTGACAGAAAGGCTGTGGAAGTATCTGACATAAGATCATGTCTGACATGCGGCAGCTATATGGGCCCTTTAAAGAGACGCCCGTACTATTTCTGCTGTGTAATCTTATCTAGTGATGTGCAAAAGACAGGCTGGATAGTTTAACCATATGTGCGGTAATAAACATGCCATTCAGAATGATCCAGGGCTGCTTGTTAGAGACTCGACAGATGCAGCGTGCGAAGTAATTGCTGTTTCCGCATTTGACAGAATTGAAACACGTCTTAATTAATGTTTCCAAAAACCGAGGGTTTTGTTTTTCTTCATGGATAGTTTTATGATTTAGAAATCAAACCTAAAAATTGGTTGATTGCTGAAATCAAAGTACTGGGAATTGGTGTAATATGCTGAATGTGTGACTAATAATCAGAAATGTAAGTTGTATAGTGGTCATAGATACAGTATGCATAGCTCATAAGTTCTTTAAAGCCAGTTAAACAATCACCATCCAGATATGAGTAAACTGACACTGATCTCTGAGAAAAAGCCTGATGATCGGTACAACACACCTCAGCCCACCAGGAGCGCCACCTTCCTCTGCTCCACTCCACTGGTGAGTTCTGTTATGCAACAAATCAGTCATGAAGGGCCATGAGAGTGAAAAGTCCCATTCTGAGTTACTGGACTGAGATGACATTTGAAATGTTTGAACAAGTGGGAGGGTGACGAGCGATAGCCTGATACTGGTGAAGCAAAAGCTGCTATTTGTACATTTCAGAATTAGAAAAAATAAAATAAAATAACCAAAGCTCTTCACAATTGCTTTCTATCTATTCTTGTGACAGCTGAAGATAAAACAGGGCAGGGGCAGGACGAGTGGGGCGCAGTGGGAAAGCACATGTAGATGAGGAAATGCCCATGTGGCACGAGCTTCAGCCAAGAGTGCCTGGCAGCACCAGCTCATCCAAATCCACGTGCCTGCTGGGGACGGAGGAACACACGCTCGTGTCCAGCGTTATCGGCCAGCACCTGAATCAAGCATTCTACTGTGCGGCAAATCAGGCAAAAGGGATTGTGTGTCTTGTTGTAAGTTGGGGTGTTTTTGTGAACTACAACTCCTTTGAAAATGTAAATAACAGTTTTAATACTTAAAATGAACAAATGAAGTTAATTCTAATCGGCACGATGAAATATAAAATGATCCTTACAAACTACATAAAAAAAGATTTTTGACAAACAGCTAAATTATAAATCTTTAATCTATAACTCTGAACACCTCATCACAGTACGAGTTGTTTGTACAGTTCATAATCTGTCAAATAGCTCAAAATTGGCAAAGGCAAAACTTCACCAGCTAAGATTGTGAAAGACACAGTAGTAGAAACAGAAAAGTTTCAGCTTTTCTGACAAGAAAACCGTAAAAAACATGCAAGCAGCCTCTTTGGGTAACATCACAATATAAACATATATTATAACTGAACAAAACACTCGTAACAATCAACATTTATTTTAAAAAATATGGAAAATTAGACCCCTTTAGGTCATCATCTGACTTGATACAGCACCAAAACGTGGCATACTAGTAGAAAGAACTCTTGCAAAAGTCATTCTTTAGTGGCTCA